AGATTTTTTTTTTTATTGCAATTTTCAAGGACTCTTCGGCTTTGAAAGTCACGAATCTTTGACGGCCATTTCCCCACCAGTTTTACCTCTGACTCCCTGTGACCCCCACTTCTTTCAGTCTCAATTATCCCGACTTTTTTTTCTCCAAGATAGATATCAGAAAATGAGCAAGGTTGAAGATGATACATACTATTACAACTCCATAATTTGCCCCAAAATTGACGAGCGCCTGATTCCACCGCGTCGCGACACATAGTAATTTTGTTTTTGCACGGCACCGGATAATGAAGTACGCAGAACGAAGGTCAGAGAGGATCTAGACTAGTAATTGGTCCGTTTTGATTGGCCGCTTTCAGATCTGTTTCGGAAGTACACGACAAGATGAGAACAGACAAGCGACAACCGTAGCCCGTGTGAGAGTCACTTGACGTACACTCAAACAAAGGACGCAGATACAACAGTAATACAGTAGGCTATTGTCTGTTGTTGTTGTTGGGTTGTTTTTGGGGGGTTTTTTGGTAAGTGTTTTACGGCGCTCGCAACTGCTTAAGGTCTAAAGAGCGCGATGGACACCTTAGATCTACACATTTTCAGTTGGAAGGCAATTTTGAATTTTGCTCGGGTGGCGGCCGAAACCTATCAATTTGAGACCACCAAAGGATCTTTGATGTGCGCAACTTTCACACGGGACATCCGAGATTTTTCACCCTTGTCCGAGAAGGCTAAGTGTAGATCTATCATACAAGAAGATCAGGGGTGTGGCTGAAAGACAGCAGTAAGAAGGAGCCAAGGAGTAGCAGTAGAAAGGCTGCAGAAAGAGTCAGGAGCCCAGAGGGGGGGGCAAAGGAGGTGAGGGGGGGGTATAAGGCGCTTGTTAAAATGGGATTATCATAAATACCGGCGGTTCGGCGATTTTAATCGATTTTTCTTCGCTCAACATCATATCCGTTCATTTAAAGGCAAATAATTCCTGCGTGGATTTTGCTGGAAAAGCGTTGCTCTAATACACAAAAATGTAAATTAAAGTTTCCAAAAACACTAAAGCTTTGGAATTCATCAAACTTTGGCGGCCTTTTTACTCGCTGATTTTACTCCTGATTCAAGATGACTCTTGTCTCGTCTATTCAAGAGTGATGTTTGTTTTCTTCTATTAAAAGCAACTCAAGAAAACAAGATTTAAAATGATACCAATGTCGCTTTCATGTGTCCAAGAATTGACGAGGGCCCGATTCCGCTGTTTTGACGTATGAACATACATACATGCATCCCCTCC